CTGCTACGCCCTCCTTCACGTCTGCCTGAGCGCCTCCATCACTTAAGGTGGTTTCTCCTCCCTTCAGTGATGTCAAAGGAGCTCTACCCCTTTCCTTCCATATGGTTTCCTCATCTCTACTGGTGTCCCACTCGCCCATCCCGCACTGGGAACAGGGTCGACGGGATAGACTGTCCGCGTTCTGATGAGCTTTCCCCGCTCGATGGATGATTTCGAAATCATACTCCCCGATTAACTGTAGCCATCGTGCTACTTGGCCTGCACGCTCCCTGAAGTTAATGAGCCACCTTAAGGCTCCATGGTCTGTCCTCACTGTGATTCTTCGTCCATAGATATACGGTCGGAAGTGCCTTAAGAACGTCACCACAGCCAGCAATTCTCTCCTGGTGACGCAGTAATTTTGTTCTGCCTTTTTCAACACTTTACTAGCAAAGGCTATGACCCTCTCCTGGCCATCCTTTCTCTGTGCTAGGACCCCTCCTATCCCTGCGTCACTGGCATCTGTGTCAAGTATCAGCTCTCCATCTGGTTCCGGGTAAGTGAGGACAGGCGACTCCGTGAGGCGCCTCTTCAATTCCTCGAAGGATGCCTGACATTCATTGGTCCACTGGAAATCCCTGTGTTTTTCCGTAAGCCTGTGCAAAGGCTTCGCCACCGCTAAAAACCCCTCTATAAACCTCCTGTAGTAGGACGCTAGTCCTACAAAACTGCGAACTTCCTTTACTGTCTTGGGGACTGGCCAATCCCTGACCACCTTGATCTTATCAGGATCCGTGCTAATGCCCTCCGGAGTTACTACATGACCGAGGTAGCGAACTTTCTGTTTGAACAGATCACACTTAGCAGGCTTTAACTTTAATCCTGCGTCTCTCAGGCGCTGCAACACGACCTTCAGTCGACTGAGTTCCTCCAGTATAGTCTTGCTGAACACTATAACATCGTCCAGATACACTAAAAGTGTTTCCCAGTGAAGGCCACTTAATACTCGTTCCATAAGTCTCTCAAACGTCGAAGGCGCGTTGCATAGCCCGAAAGGCATCACACGCCAACTGTAAAGGCCGCCCCTTACTACAAAGGCCGATTTCTCCTGTGCCTCCTCATCCAGGGCCACCTGCCAGTAGCCAGATGCGAGGTCCAGCGTAGAAAACCACTGGGCCCCAGAAAGCGCATCAAGGGAATCATCAATCCTGGGGATTGGGTAGGCATCCTTGATCGTTATGGAATTAAGTCTCCGATAGTCAACGCAGAACCGCTTGCTTCCGTCCTTCTTTTTGACGAGCACTACGTTTGAAGCCCACGGGCTACTTGAGGGTACAATCCTTCCGTCCTTAAGCAAGTCCTGGACTTGCCGATTAATTTCCTCCTGTTCGACTGCAGGAAATCTCCTGGGTCTCTCTCGCATAGGCCTTTTGCCCTCTGTCGTTATATGGTGTTTTACGCATTCCGTGCGTCCATTATCCTCACTACCCTTCGAGAATACATCCTGAAACTCGGTAAGTAATCCTGCCACCTCCACATGATACTCGGACTTCACTCCCTCGATGCTCCGGTTGAACAAGTCCTGCAGATGTTCAGGCAACCGGTCAGGTCGTCCTCCTTGTATGGGTTGATGTGGTTGCACGTCCTCTTCCGCCACCTGACTAAGCAAACCAGCCATACTGCCGGCCTTAACAACACATACTCTCCTTCCTGGGTTGAAAACCCTTATTGGCAAATTATCTTCCTCAGGCTTTACCAAAAGCCTTGCAACAATCAGCCCCTTAGCCGTCAACTCTGTACTCTCCGCAGGTTCCATTATCCCGAGCCCAGTAAACTTCCGAGTCACTCTCCCTGATACAAGTGCTTCGTGCCCTGGTGGCACTGATATGGTCTCTCCTACGACCACCCGGGCACAGAAATTATTGCCCTGTTTATTCACACACTTAATCTTCTGTCCATTCAGGGCAAGGACTAACTCCTGAAAATCTAACCGTCCCCTTGTCGGTAGGAGGTAGTCCATCCCAAGGATTCCATCCATCTCCAATTTGGCAAAGATCGCCCGCACTGGGGAGGTAGTCTTCCCAACTTGAACCTCTAACCACGCTCCACCTATCGTCTCTATGGAGTGACCGTCAGCTCCATACAGTCCTACTCCCTCCGTGCTCAATGTTGGCCTCTGTTCCTTCGGTATCTTGTAGTATACCGCCGTCGAAATTATTGTGTCTGTCGCCCCTGTATCTATTAACATAAGTGTCTCTGCTCCCCTCACACGTGCACTCACATAAAGTCCTCCCTTCCTTTGGTCCCTTGAGGGAAGTGTAATCCCCTGAGGTATTCCTCCTATTGTTTGTGGTCCTTTCGAATCGTCAGCCCACCCTTGGACCCCAGGGAAGGCTGTTTATCGTTTCCCGACTCTACGTTTTGTTCACGTTTGGGTGCTTTACAGTCCCGTGCAATATGTCCCTTTTCCTTGCAACTGTAACACTTGTCGTTCTTTGGTGCAGGACAGTTCCTAGCAAAATGTCCCGAAGCTTTGCAGTTGTAACACACGTCCTGTGTTCTGCCTTTCCATCCCTTTCCAGATCTCGGTCCAGAATCATAACCCACTTGTTTCTCCTGGCTACCCTTACTGATATCCTGTAGCATCGACTGGATTTTTCCAAAGGCTTGTCCCATGGACTCCTGTGTTTCTCTTATCTCTCCCTTCAGTTCCTTCATCGTAATTTCGTCCTTGCCTTCTAGTACTCTAGCAAACTTCCTAGCCTTATCGCTAGTCCTACGATCCTCTGTCTGCAGGAAACTCTGTGTTTGCAACGCCGCCTTGATCGAATCATCAAGGGTGGCAGGCTTTGAACGGAAAATACCCTCCCTGATTTCTCTGTCTTTCACGGCGTCCATGAAATGTCCCTTCGCCAGTCTCTCTCTACTCTTGTCTGAGAACTCCGGGTACGCCAATGCTGCAAGTTCTCTCACACTGGCTCCGAGCTCTTGCAGGGTTTCAGTCTCGCCCTGACGAAGATGACGAAGCTCCATTAGATGGAAATCTGCCTGTTGTCCTGGTCCAAAACGTTGATCTAGTCTGTCCAAAAGATCCTTAAGTGAAAGTTCCTTCCCCTCTGGTTGGCATCCCAGCACCTTCAACGCCTGTCCCTGAAGGCTGGCCGCTAAGAATACAGCAGCCTGGCTGTCCTTCCATCCATTTGCTACGCAACAAGCTTGAAAATGTGCCTTATAGTCCTTCCATGGCACTTTTCCACTGAACCGGTCAGGACAAATATTCGGTTTCCTAATTCTGTCCTCACTTGTCTTAGTTTCCTTCGCGGTTACCAAGGATGTCTCCTCCGTTTGTCTAGTGTTTGCAGGTGTGCCTGGTATCCCTAGTATTGAACTAAAAGTGCTTGAGACAGCAGGAGTTGGGGTGAACAGTTCCGGTGTTTCAGTCCTGCTTATTTCCTTATCCTCGATGATTGATTTCATTTTCTGTACTTGTTCCTCAAGTTCCCGTTTTTCCTTGAGTGCATCGTCGTACATGTTTTCGGCCTGGTGTGCCTCCATCCTCAGAACATCCAGCTCCTCCTCCATCCATTTAGAATCCATCACTGCAGATGCAGTCTCCTGAAAGTGTCACGCCTTATCCCACTTCTGACACCAATGTGGCGAATCCCGTCCGGGTCAAGTTTGACTCGGTACTGCACAGGCGAGCGGCAGCCCTACAGCACTGTGGGGGAGGTCGTTTGGCAACCATATATCGCCGCGCGCAACACTTTTTCCCGGGACCCTATGGAGCGGAGATAAATACCAGGCAGAGCAGCGCAGGAACCCAATAATCTGACAAAGAGAGAGATCACTCAAGAGCCGCGGGGTTTTCCCTTTATTATAACTAAGACGCCTTAATCACTTCAGTTCAGTTGCAGATTCCTTAAGGGATTGCTGTTCCTTAAGGTATAGCCTTGAGGTTCCTTAAGGGTTTCCTGTATCCTTAAGGGATATAATCGAGTTTCCTACTGAGCCTTAGAATTACTGATAGAGAGGTTTATTACTGAAGGCACTTAATAGAAATTATTACTGAATGTGATAACTTGTGGGGAGGTTCAACAATATCGGTCCTGAACTGTGCTCATCACTAACTTTATCAAATACGTCAGCTTGACATACCCCGCGCTATGAGCTGCTGCAACTAGATTCGGCAAACCGCCGCCGCCACGGACTCTCTGACACGGCTCCGACAGTCCCGCTGTCTCGGACACTCCGATCAGCCTCTCTCACGCTGCTCTGGGATCCGGCGGTCGGTCGCTATACCGCTCCGCCTCGCTGCTACCAGCTCCCACTACACACCAACAGCAACGCTGACGCACACAAGCCTAGCGCCCTACAACAACTCTCTTAGAGCTCCGCCGTCACACGTCTCTTCAGTCCGCTAGCTCCACAGCAACTCCCGCCACGTACACACACGAGGCACAGCGCGCGCAAAACAGCTCAAGGTCACCTAAGCAGCCCACTGCGCATGCTCAGCAAGTATGGCACGCCTCAGCGCTATGACGCGCGAAAGCTACAAGCACTCGGGCCAATTTCGTTACAATTTGCTAAACTTCTACGTGTACAAATGCTTCAGAGAATCCATCTCAACTGAAACCATCTTCACTCCTACTTCTTGCATAAAGGAACCTTGCAATTAATTCTGGGTCTAACAGTGAAACTTTCCTCAATCAACTGTCTTCAACTGAACACTAATTCATCAATCAGAAACATGATCTCACAGTTGTCTAAAACTTCATGTTTCAACACTTATACAAGTTTCACAGAATAAATGAATGCAATGAAGGAACTTTGAACCTTAACTTAATAATGAACTTCTTCACAAACTTTGAGGAATCGAATGTTTCAGAACTTAACTACTTATTTCCTCAAGTCTCAACATTAACAGTCTAAAGAATTAAAACAACTAAACACAATACAAAGGCTTAAATCAAAGGAAATCTATGAATGTGAATTATCAGAAATGAAAGTTAAAATCAACATACCTGTAAGAAATAATGGAGAGTTGTCAGCCAAAGATACAGAAATGCATGAGGACAACTTTATTGCAGATGTTGGCAGGGTCATTGCTTGTAAGAACAATGAAGCCAACTTCCTGTCCCTTGCTGATGTGGCAACTCTTGGATCAGTCCATTATTTTCAGAGGTAAAGCAAAGTCTGGACTATTACATTATAAAAGGGGAGGGGGCAAAATTGAAAAAGGGGTTGACCAATTTCCATGGCCTCTACAAAACTGTAATGAAAAGGGTTTGGCATCCTGATGAGAAATAACAACAAAAATCTTGAATATGTATGTAATATGAAACTTGAAAGAAGTGTTATCTGGCAAGCACTCATTGCGTGTGAAAAGGTTTCTGACTGTCAATAGAGGGCGCTGTTTCTCATGTTTTTTAATTTTTCTCATGCAGAATTTTGGCGTTTTTATCCCAGATTTTCTCATTCCAAAACAACCTTTGGATCAGGGTACAAATTTGCTTAGATATAGTACATCATAATCTACATATCTGGATAGCAATATAAAATTCGGCGGACCAGATCGCCTATCTCGTAAACTATAGCATTTTCGGCCTCTCGTCCCATGGACTGCAATGGCTGCCATGTAAGAAACGCCCTTTTAAGATGTTTGTACAGGTCTGTTTACATATGGGAGTCTACTGTACTTTTTTATTAACATGAAATGCTGACAAATTACATTCTTCTATTAGGTTTCAGCTTACGATGATATTTTTATTGCCCATACAGACTGGGCTCTCAGAATCATGTCTCAGTAATGTGCACAAAATTTGGCTGGAAATAAATTTGTTTCAATCTTTGCCGTGAAATAGGGCAATTCACACTCACAGTGTAATTAATAATGGAGTAACTTTTTTGTATCATGTTAGTGATGACATTGTCCAGTACATATGCCTTGAAGCTCCACCGTTGAGACCCCGTGGAGCCCGCCCGCGTCTCTCACTTTATCTGTCTTCACAGTTGATGTTTGGTGTTGCCAGAGTATATGGAAAACAGATGGAGTATTTAAATGGTAAGGAGTATTGTTTTAAATAACATATATACTTATGGAGGTCACCTTAGCCAAATAGAGCATTGGGTTCTTGAAAATACAAATAATTCAAACTGTATAGTGGAAAAAACTTGTGGATGCATTACGTGGTGCTGATCCTGAAAGGAAAGGGGAAATCGTTTTTGGTACATAAGGTTGTGTACAACACTTAAATGTACTGGTAGTCTTTAATTACTACCGGTAGTTGAGACTGTACGAACAATCCTATGGAGTAAAACTCTGAGTAGGCCGGGTAAGGTAATTTGACCACTATGTACCATCACAGGACTCTAGGTTTTCGGCTGGTGGTTTAGCGGCCACAGTTGCTAGTGGTGTAAATCTGGGTCTGCTGGGGGGGAGGGGGGGGGTAGTGGAGGGTTGGACGGGGATGACCATATAGCAAAGTACACTTGCCCGACTGAGAAACTTGATGGGGGGGGGGGGGGGGAGGGAGCCCGGGGTTCGAAACAAATTAAGTGACAGATTGTTTGTGGCAGGCCTTTGAAAAGAAAAGGTTTTGTACAACTGTCCTGTCTGTCACACCGGCGTTAGTGTGATGTAATTAACTTAAACATCAAGTGTGGATTCTATACCTCACATTGCCAGTCTTGCTGCTAATTATTTCCAGTAGATAAATCTGTGCTGGTGAGTTGGGGGATGGGATGATCAAACTAAAAAGAATTGCCCGACCATGGAAATTCGAAATGGTGGGGGGGGGGGGGGGGGGGTTGGCTGGCGGTGGCTGGAAACCACATTATACTAGGGGCGCTGTTCATGATACATTTTTCATGTACATCTTTATGTATACGCACTGTTGCATAAAACGGTGCATTTTATGTTGTTACTTTTTTCTAAAGGGAATATACATCATTTGCTTTTGCTGTAATTTTCAGAAATGGATGGAATTAGGGGGTTGGAAATATATAGCAAATATAGTTACACTGACTCTTTGAGGTTTTGGGTTTGAAAATGCTATAAAAACAAAAAAAAAACAATCATTTTCCTGTAGTCTGGTTCCCTGACTCCATATAAGAAGAAACAGAGCAGTTTACATACATTGGGGAATTGTAAGGTCAGGGAACCAGTCTAGCTGGCTTGTACCCGTTCATAGGTGTGTAATCGATTGCAAACAAGTGCGATGGTCAATTGGGGCCAGTATTTGAAAAAAAAAGCCATTTTTTTTCCAACGCTGGTCGGCCGACCAGCGTTGGAAATTGATACAAAAATACCACTTTTCTTGAAAATGACAGTATACCAGGTGCCATGATTTTACAGGATGCTGTACACTGTCATTCACTAACAGTCCAGCAAGGTATTTCAAAATGATTTGGTAGTTTTATTTTTTGATGTTTGCAAATGTTGTATTTTCCCTTTAAGTATTATTATATTGGTTGTTGGAAACTTCGAAAAAAATACATCATATAATCAACATTTTTTTGTTTCTCCTCACAAAAAAGTGGGGGGGGGGGGAATGATTCAATAGCCAATCCCCTCCCCTTTTTCAAAAAGTGGAGAAGGGATATATGCATTTATGCCCCTGATTGTTTCAAACACAGTTACACAGGCATCACACAGTTAAAACTAGGTTTTTGTAAGCTGACTTTACATTTGTCTGATACTTCAACAACTTATAATGTTAAAGGCTTATTGAGATTTAAACCATGCAAGTCAACGCTCTCAGGCTATAGTCAGTGGGCTTGTGGTAGCCCAAAGGCATTTTTGGGTACATTCTTTGAAACTCTCGGGATCACTAATAGATACCTCAAGAAGTTCAAAACCACTTAAAGCCATTTTTCTCTGACCCTTTTATGGGCGGGGCCTTGACTTTAAAAGGTGGGGGCTTCATGCGCAAAAACTTTTTAGCATTTGGACAGCCCACCCAAGAGCTACATCAGGAAAAAAAAATTCCAGAAATTTGCCTCTTTGGCGTGGGGCCACATTTTATGAAAGCAGGGGGCATATGTCATTAACAGAAAATCGAGCTGTAATGGACATTTTTTGCGACTGAGACCCAATTGTCATTTTATTAAGAAATAAATAACATGCCCTATGATGTTCAATTGCTTGAAGCTTTGGCCAATAGGGTTAGGCCTGCAATGTATTGGTTAAAACGATAACTGAGCATATAAAAAATGGAACCAGCATTTGCATGACATACCGGTGCATGTATATGGACAGAAAATGTTTTGCTGTACTGTAGTCGGTCACAAAGCTAGTGCAATGAACGCAACATACAAGCATGCGGCTTACTTTATCCCACTATTTCAGCACCAACACACTCATGGAGTAACGCCAAATTGCAATCAGTACTTATTTCCTCCTTGTTTTGTTTACAAGGGCTAACACGTAAGAGAAAAAAAATGCTCATAGTTCAAACGAGTAAGGCAGAATTGATCAATAGTGGGGAATAGTGTTGCTGAGTAAGCTAGGAAGTGCATGTGGGCTGGAGAGAGTTTACAACTTGCTTTCAACGATGAACTTGCTTTCAACGATGTATGCTCTGGCTAAGTTGTTCTTTACAAAAAAATTATTATAGGGGGCGCCCTTTCGAAAGATGAAGTCATCACACTTTTTTTGTCTGGCATTCCTCACTAAACACTGTCATAATTTATATGTGTGTAGTAAAATGCTTCTGCTTTTGAGTTACATTCGGTTTTTATTGCACTTTCGGTAACACCGGAAGTGAAGGTTTTGTGTCTGGGGACAAGATATGTCTCCCACGGCATACAAACAAACACAATACTCTATTTAGTTCAAAAGATATAGCGCAAACTATTTTGTCAGAATTTGCCCAAAAATTGCTTGTAATTTGAAACCTGATGACATCATGATGACGTAACAAAATTTATAAAATCTTCGTAGCATGGTACAAGTTCACATTAGGTTTCAGGATCATACCGCAAACCCTTTGGAAGAATTTCTGCTTTGTTTTGATTTCAGGCTAAAGTCTTCATTTTGAATTCACCTAACTTTGACCTTCCGGTAAACCTGGACTTAAAAGTCAAACGAGTTCACGTGCACAACAAAAAATCTGATTGCAGAATACAAACACTATTGATTATGTTGTTCAAGAGTTATAGGTGAAAGTAATTGGTCACTTTTTCAGCTAAAACCGCTTGTAATTTGACACCCAATGACGTCATCATGACGTCAGAGTAATATGACCACTACGGATGAGGGTCGATGTATATTGAAAGTTACAAGTTCATATCATAAACAGTTTAGGAGAAAAGCCGCGGAGAAGTATTGTCAGAAAAAAAGAAAGATTTATCAGAACAATAACAGAGAGTGGTCGTGTTGACCTTACATTCCCCAAAGTGTATTAATTGCTCCGTTTTATCTTAAGTGGGGTCAGGGAACCAGACTACAAGAACATGACAGGTTTTCTTGGCTTTTCAAGCATCTACAAGCCCAAAACGTGAAACAAGTCAGTTTAACAATATCTTCTATGTTGTATATATTCCCTTAAAACGGTGGTTGTTTTTTTAAATTCCTTAACTCGAGAATAAGCTTTATGTGGCCTCTCTGGACTCACATATATTTGCACTAAGTTTAGTCGGGCACCATTTGCAGTCATCAGCCGACATTTGAAGCAAAAAAATCAGGTAAAAAAAAAAAAAGCCGCGTCGCCGCACCACTTTTTGGGCAAGCTCCATACCAGAAACCAGAGACTTTTTTTTTTTGCCTTACGGCCGGATGAATAACAACTAGCGCCTTGACCAAGGCTAAGGAAATTAATATTGCACTCCATTCCCCTTTTTAAAAACGGACTTTGGACATTTTTTTTATTTCAAAGGAAAAACACTCAACCCTATTAAAGTTTTCTGAATTGAGAGGGTCAGCCTATTCTTTTCCAAGGAAAGTAATGCACTCGACCCCCCTTTCCAAAAAGAGGGGTCGGACGACTTTTTTTAGAAAATTTATGGGCGAGTGTTATTCCTTTGAAGAAATTTTCCAACCCCCCTTTTTTAATAGGATGGTCGGGTGCATTAATTTCCTTTGGAAGAAAAGGCCGTTCCCCTAAAATAAGAAAACTTAATTCAGAAGGGTCAAGTATTTTTGCTTTGAAAAAAAGGGGAGGGGAGGGGAAGGGTCGAGTGCATTAATTTCCCTTGAAAGAATAGGCTGACCCCCTCAATTAAGAAAACTTAGAGTCCAGTGTTTTTTCTTTAAAAAAAAATAAAAAATAACATGATTTTCATTCAT